AGAACTTTTATATTTTCAGGGTATTCTTAGGTTGGGTTTTTTCTTTTCTAAATTAATATATCTGTGATCTATTTTCACAGAGTTTCAGCTCTTGCTTGATTATATGGTTTTCTGTAAAAGGTGCTGGGGAGAGTGAGACAGATCCTTTATCAAAACAACATTTCCATGTCTTCATCAATCATTTTGATATTGTTCTTTTAAAAAATAATTTTCTGCAGCAATATTGTAATAGGTAAGTAACATACCTGATATTTTTATGTTGGAAACAAATATTAAGAAGCTATAGGTAAGCACCAAATACTTCTAATAAATATTCACCATGAACCGATTTGCACTCTTATCCCCATACTAAGAATATGTGGAGTTTGCCTTCAGTATTATTCCTTACATTTTAAAATCTCAAAAATTGTCTTTTGGATATAGCTAGAGAACCCAAAATAAGAAACTGCATGTATCTTATCTGCTTAGAATATCCAGTTATCCAAACTGACTTCATAATAAGTGACAAAGACACAAAACGTGGTGGACCCATTTGTACTTTTTTCTGCTGCTTAATTCTTTATTTCACTTGTATCCTATATCCTTCTATGTTCCTTTCTGCACCTAAGTTGATTTTACCATCCTTGACCCAAAACTTTATATGGGTATAATGCCTCCCATTTCTTTTGAAAATGTGTATAGATTAATTGCATTTTACAGAATAATGCTTCCTCTTTTCTCAGCAAGGGTTTGTCATTCCTAGTTCCATGTTAGGAAGGAGAGTACAGAATGTAGGAAAACATATAGTTTCCCACTCTGGGTAGATAAGATCAGGAAGCAACGTACATGACACTTTATATTATTGTCCTTCAATGTAAACTTAGTTCATCTTTCAGTATTCAACTGAATTCCATTAGACCAAAAAACTACAGCAGAAAGAATGTGTAGACAAAAATACATTTTAATAAATTATCTAATTCCATAAAATACAAATATCATGTTCTGCCGTATTTTTTCTTTAAGAAATAAAATAACTGTAACCAAGTAGGCAGTGTGATTTTCTTTTCTCCATTTAGTAAAAGTCAGGCTTACAAATAGTTAAACCAATTAATATTCAAAGAAATTAGATCAGTCAAGCAAAATTAATAGGAATTTCACCTAGAAACATTCAACATGCAAGGATTGCAATTTGGAACATGTTTCTACAAATTGTATTTTTTACCTTCACATTCCTCCTAATCCTTTCAGCGTGTTGGATTCATCTGGCAAACTGGCTTCATATGACTACTGGAGGAGCAATGTTGTCATTTACCTTCTAGACAAGCACCTTATAATTGTGATTGTTCCAAAGCCAGGTAGGTGGGGGGTGGACATGCTCAAGGAGATTTTGAAACAACAATTCTCAAGCAGCAGGCCCTTTGCTATAAAGAAAAATGATTGCTACATGAAATATTGTCAAAAGCAGTTTATGATATGGCACTAGTGGAAGGCAAGAGAGCCTCTTATTCAAAGAATGAAAAAATGTAACAAGTACATACCCTAACCCTTAAGACTTTTCTGATAATGTAAATAACTTTTTAGATCTTAGCTGAATGATTACAATTAAGAAAATTTTCATGAAAAAACAATTCGCTGCAGCCAATTTTCTCCAAATTATACAGTACTTTACTTGTACTTCTGTTTTTTATTTGAAAGATTGGCTGCATGTTATTAGCCACATTTTAAACTAGGAAATGTTAAATATGAATTATTCAGAATAAAATTTGCAAGGGCCTTGTATGCATACACAGAAATGGGACATCACTGGGCTGAGAAGAGAAATTTCATGTGCCCAACAAAAGCTTACAAAAGTATACTGGAATCAAACCAACAAATTATGATTAACTTCTGCAAAGGTAAATGAAACAATGCATTAAGTTGGGGTGGTTATCATGTTAAACCCTGTCTTAAATATATGGAATATTAGGGATGAATGAGAACTAAGAACTAATGTATTTAAAATGTCTAAGCAAAAATTACAATATTGTACAAAAGTGCTCTTTCAAAATAATGAAAAGTAAAATTGTCTCTGAAAATTATACTATAACATATATAACGCATACTTCCTTAGCAACAAGCAGTAATTTTGCTTTTTCAAGGCAAATCATTTTCTAGTTTGCATACTCAAAAACTATGAATGTTAAATAAAATCACATTAAGCATGCACTTTTTTCTTTTGGAAAATCATAATTTTTCCTATCTACAACATTTACAAACACATTAAACAAATTATCTTGGCCATTGCTTTAATATCTGGCCTAGTGCAATATTCAATACTTAACCCAAACTAGTATGGGCTACTAGCCCCCAAGAAAATGTGAATACTAGTTGCAGTTACCTCTACTGCCTTTGAGAAGTTTTCTTCCCAGAATTTAATAACTGAATTCTCAGTGAAATGGAGCTTTCAGGAAAACATTATCAAGACTGAAAAAAACCACTTCCAGGAAAAAGTGTGCTTGTTAAAGATCAGTTAATTCTATGTACATCAATCAGGGAACACTGATGAGGCCGTGATCCTCTGGCTGTGTGTTGCACTTTTAGCTGTGTTTCTTATTTGCATACATTAATATAAACAACCTTTTCTGTATAATGGGCAGAGCATAAGTAAATAAAGCAACCTCACTTTTAAAACATCCAGCTTTCATTTCATAGCATGATTTAGGGGTCTCTCTGGCTTAGAAAAGAAACAGGATGGTTTGTAATACTTCTTAGTCATAGCCACTTTTTAAACTTCACAGTAAAAACTAGACTTTCCTTTGGGAATGTGTTGATGTGAGTGTGATAGACGGGCTACATGTTGGTCATACAGCCATAAAGGAGCTTGCACCGTGGCTCACATGACCAAAAGGACTCAGGAAAACAGCCTAGGAAAAAAAACGAACCAAAGATATAAGAAAGCCATAAGTAAAGGGAACACCTTCACCAAAAGAAAAAACAATATTGACAAGTAATCCTCTTGAAGCAATACATACTAAAATTTTCTGAAGAAAGTATATAATTGGGCTAATAGTATCAAAACTCTAAAAGATGTTTTTTCCTTTTCTTCCAGAACCACAAAAAAGCAGCCAACATTTGACTGGAAGCAATTGTTGCTTCCTCTACTCTTCCCTGATCAGAACCCACCTGGAGTACTATATCCAGTTATGGGCAGCACAAAGGAGAAGGACAAATTGGAATGAGATCAAAAGAAGGTTACAAATATGGCTAGGGATCTGGAAATCAAGCCCTAAATAGTGAGGGTTGACTGAACATTGAGGAACAGTGAAAGGATCTAGATATGTTTAGCTTACAAAAGAGACAACTGAGAACAGGAGCATAGTCTTCATATATCTTAAAGATGCAGATCTGACTGATCTATCGATAGTGGAATTGGCTGATGCATAAAGTGGTGAGTTCATCTTTGCTTCAAGTTTTCATAAACAGTGGCTGGGTCACCATTTACCAGAAAAGTTCTAGCAGGACTAAGTGGCCTTGAGCTAAATTCCAACAATAAAATGCTATGTAACAAACAAGGGAAGATGGAAACCACATTAAATAACTCAGAATGAATACTATACGCACTGTTTGTGCCTATCTCCTATAGTACCTGCTCAGCCAAATTTGATCCAACAGGATTGGGGTGATCTAGTTCCTTTGATTAAACAATGCCCTCTGTTGGGACTCTAAAAGTGCACCTTCTTTGCTGTACCCCCTGCTCTCTGGAATGAGGTTTCCCCTCCCCAGAGATCTGGATGGCCTCCATCCTGCTGTTTTGGAAATCCCTGAAAAACTGGCTTTGTTATTGAAGTCCCATTTTGGGTCATGTGGGTTTGCTTTGCTGTTGTTGAGTTTGTTCTATCTTTTGTTCGTTTTTATCATGCATTATTTCATTGTTCTTCATGTTTTTAACCTGTGAATTTCCTAGAGTTACTGGGAGTTGAGCAGTGTAAAAATTTAAAAAATGAAATAATGAAATTAAATGAAAAAATTAAAAAAAGAATTGATCCCTGTAGGGTGCTTGTGTTTAAATAACTTGGGAGGTGATTAAGGACATACATAATATAAGTGATCAAAGCTACTCAGCCCAACTCCACTTTCATTGCTATGATGCTTTAATTACTTTTAAAAATAATTGTAATTAAAATAAAACTCAGATTTAAGGATTCTCTTTAATATAATGATTCTCAATAATGTGGCATTAAAATGTCTTTAAAAGTATGAGACTCATTTAAAGGTGAGTGAAAAGAAGTAACAAAATTCAAAATCTACCCAAATTGTTTTAGGGACCACTTAGTAAAATGACCATGAATTAATGAAAGTGGAAAATTAGTGATGCATTTTATACAGTGTAATTTTTCTTAAGAATCAGCTTAAAGCAGTGATGGCGAACCTTTTAGAGACCGAGTGCCCAAACTGCAACTCAAAACCCACTTATGCATCGTCGGGTGCCGGATGAGTGTGGCCCATTGGCTGGTGTGGCTGCGGTGGTAACGGCAGACTGGGTGGGACTAAAAAGTTCAATCAATCAATTCCAACTTTGCAAGATCTTTTTTTTCCCGTGAGAAGTTGAAATTGATTGATTGAACCTTTTTTTTTTTTTTTGCACACGGCAGCGGAGGCCTAAAGCGAAAAGGTTTTATAAAACCCAGCTGAAGGCCTAGGACTGGGGTGACGGCGAGCGTGCCCACAGAGAGGGCTCTGAATGCCGCCTCTGGCACCGGTGCCATAGGTTCGCCACCACTGGCTTAAAGTATTGCCTTTTTGTCAGTGTTTCAAATGGGAGCCAAGTCTAGCTAATGGTAATGAGGATATTTCTATGAATTTAGGTCATTCTTTCCAGTAAGTTAGACTGTCTTCAATTCAAATTCAAGTATTTATGATTTACATATTCATATTAGATTCATGAATTCTGATAATTACTATGTCTGCTTTTAATAATCCTTTACTTTTATCTCACGAGCACTTACAAAGTTGCATAGCTGTTCATTTTCACAACCTTAAGCTGGTTGAACAGAAAATGATCATGATCCAGATTCATATACTAAGGATGCGAGATGGCGCCTGGAAAACAGCAGAAGGATTTGAAGAAAACTTTGTCTTTGCTTCTGGAATCTAGAGAGAAAGAGGAAAAGACATTGAGGACTGGTTGTAATACTGGGGAATGATGGATATTGTAGCCCAATAATATACCTACAGAATGATTGGTTGAAGAAAGCTGACCTACATTGTTTGATAGTATTTCTCCTGTTGAAGGAATTAAAAATATTATTTCCTGCACATGGCTTGCCAGCCTGAGGATGATCTATTTGGCCACCAGATAAGTAATGCATTTAAACTGAATTTGACTTGTCTGTGATGCCCAGTACAAGTACCAGGGGGTTAGAGAGAGCAGATAATCCCTCAAAATCCCTCATCATGTTTTGAATTGCAGATTTTATTCAGATTACCCCTTGATATATTTTTTTAAATGAATGGAGTTAAAATAGGCTATAATATAAGCTTCTTCAAACCCAGCAAACAGTCCCTCAGATATCCACACACACAAACTTACATAATATCTCAACCCCTTACATTCATGACATTTAAGTTATTGCTTATGGATATGTATTTACATTGTGGTTAACAGTTTCAGTATGAGGTAAAATCCAAATTAAATATTTTGATGCCGGTAGAAATAGTCTTGTGCACATGTAATAGCAAGGCACAAAATGATTACTTATGGATACATAAGATACAACATGCTGAATTATGAACTAATCCGGTTATTATGGATTAATATGCATGCGCACACTTCATCACTGTTATGTTTCCAAGAACTGAGTAAAAAGTCTTCGCAGAAATGTGAGCCTGGCCATTATTAATGGATAATAATTGATATAAGAAAATGAGGAAAAACAAATTTCAACAAATACAAGAAACATATTAATTTTACATTAATACTAATTTAGAAAACAAACTTTCTATGTCCATAATATCAGAGCTATTTAAATTAATGTTCTATATGCCTGATTATAGTATACATTTTGGTGGTACAACTTTGTTTTTAAAAGAAACATAATTTTAAATCCATTTACATGTATTTAAATTTCACTTATTTACTATGCAGATAAGTATGTTTGTGATACTATATTTCTGGAAATATGTCTTGTATCCTTATTTTCCATTTCTTAACTGCCCAGTAACACTATCTTGTATAGATCTGGAAACAAATTCTCTATCAGCTCTCGCTTTACTTCCAGTATCCTTAAAAAATTCTTAAGAATATACATTCTTAATGGGTCAATCAAATATGAATCTCTGCAGTGGTATACAGCAGTTTTAGCTAGGCTACATGATATGGCTGTGGGTCTGAGGATGACAGGGACCACTTTTTAACCGTCCCAGGGTAATATAGTCCAATCGATAGAAATGATCATATGGTCGGAGGGAAAAACCACCCACAAACCGACTAAAGTTTCTCTTTTCGAAAAAATTCTTTTTATAGTTTATTTTTGATACTACAGGGTGAATTCCGGTCTCAGTGACGCATACCTAAGTCACATCGGAGAACATCACTAAATAGCAGAAAAGAGATACAGAAAATCCTTTGCTTTCATCTAGTACTTTTCACACATTTGACATTCATAGTCCAGACTAGGTAGTCATATATTAAAAGAAAGAAAAATTACAAAGTTGCTTATTATCTATGAATCTTATCTTATGCATGGATCTCTAGTGTATTTAGTGTACTTTTGAATGTAACGATTCTATGATTCTATTGATAGAAAAATTTTCCAATATTAAAACAAGATAAATTTTATATATTTTAGATAAGTGTAGTCTAATTTAACTAAAATTATATTAAATGACATGGACAAGAGTATTATTAAATGTATTTGCTCTCACAACATGTGCTTTATGGACAAATTAATTAAACTTTAGAACACTAATTTAATAGAGATATTGCATTCTTAAAGATGTTTATTTGGGTTTTGGTTGTTTTGTTTTTTTTGCAATTCTACTATTTATAATATTTGATGTTTATGAGAATTGTGTGGCATGTTAATTTGTATTAACCTGGTTTTTAAAATGCTGTCAAGCACAGGAAATCAGGAGTTAAGGTGGTTCAAATGAATGCAGGGTTGGGTTTTTTTGCATGCTAACATTCTGTACAAGAATCTGAACTACTAATGGTCAAAGCAAATTGGCGGTAGATAAGAATCAACAGAATTCAAGATGAACTGGACTTAGATCTCTTGTGGGCGCGAAGGGACACGAGACTGATGATGCGCTTCACCCTTCCTTCAGGCTCAGCCTGGTCATCTCCTACAAATGCCCCTTTTTACTAATAGTGGAAAAACTAAAATTACAATAATTA